GGATCAAACATCCCTGGGAAAAGGGATCAAACATCCCTGGGAAAAAGGGATCAAACACCCCTGGGAAAAGGGATCAAACATCCCTGGGAAAAAGGGATCAAACACCCCTGGGAAAAGGGATCAAACATCCCTGGGAAAAAGGGATCAAACATCCCTGGGAAAAGGGATCAAACATCCCTGGGAAAAAGGATCAAACATCCCTGGAAAAAGGGATCAAACACCCCTGGGAAAAGGGATCAAACATCCCTGGAAAAAGGGATCAAACACCCCTGGGAAAAGGGATCAAACACCCCTGGGAAAAGGAATCAAACACCCCGGGGAAAAAGGATCAAACACCCCGGGGAAAAGGGATCAAACATCCCTGGGAAAAGGGATCAAACATCCCTGGGAAAAAGGGATCAAACATCCCTGGGAAAAAGGGATCAAACACCACAAGAGCCACTGATAAAATGCTGATAAGAGAAAAGCAAAGCACCACTTAAAGCAATTTAAAGAAAATGTGGGGGTTTTAAACCAATCTAAATCCATTTATAACCATTTCCAAGGAAAACCTGAAATTTGGGATGGCACAGGCTTGACAGGAAGCAAAACCAACACTAAAATCCAACAGGCATTTGAGAGTTCCAAAGAGGATCAAGATATTTTGTCCCTTTCACTCCTGTGGTTTCATTCCACAGAACGGGAATGAGAGGACGATTCCCAAAATGAGGACCATCCCTAAAATCTTTGTTTCACCGAGCGCTGTTTCCATCCCAAAAAACTTTTGAAGTAAGCAAGAGGAGAGCAGAACGGGCTCATGCAAGTCCAGGTCAGAGCCTCCCACCCAACCCCAGGCTGGGTTTGCTCCTCCTGTGAGGTGTGCTGGTTCCTACAGCTGCAAGAACGGAAATTCCCAAAGGAAACCCAAAATTCCCACTGGAAATGTCATTCCTTCAACACTTCAGAGCTTCAGAATAATTTATCACCATCTCCAGGAGCAACACTGTGCAAACATCATCTCCTGGAGAGTCACCAGAGCATCTCCTGTGAGGAAAAACCAAGCCCAAAGCACAAATCCCTGGCTGGGATGATCCAGCCAGGAATACCTACCAGGTTCTCCAGGTCAGAGCCACTGGAGCAGGAATGTTTGTGTCTAACTGGAACAGGAGTGAGGGTGAGAGCAGGGGAGCAGAGCCCAGGCACTGGGGTGGAAGCCATGCAAACACAGAGCTGGGGGGCAGGCAGAGCTCTCCCGTCCCGCGGGGGGAACTGGGAGCACTGGTGGGACACACACACACACACGGCTGGGACACGGGGGCTTGGGAGAGGTGGGAGCACGGAGAAGAACCTGTGCTGGACCTGGGACACAAACCAAAGCTCGGGGTTTGTGGTTTAGGGAATGTCCTTTGGCACTGGGGGGGTGGAACCCCAAATCCACGGGAGGAAGAGGAGCACGTGGAGGCACCTGCCCGGCCACTGCACCCCACTCAGGCTGCTCCACAGTGGGAATTCTGCTGTTGGAAGGGATCTGCCTTCACTCTGGGCAGGTCATCAAGGGATTCTGCTGCCTGGAGCTGCCCCCAGTTCCCCTCCAAACTGGTTTTTCTTCTCTCCA